TTTTATAAGCCCAGGATCTAGCACAGTTTTTGGCCAAAAATAGTTTTTCTTTATTCCCATGTGACTTTTGCTCAAGCACAAGGCCTTGTACAGAAAATACAGCTTCTGTATTTTACCATGGCCTTGCACTTGCTGTTCTTTTTGCCTGCAACGTCCTTTCCCTAAATTTCCTCCTATTCTTCCAGATTCACTCGAAAGCAATCTCTTTCATGATGAGATCTCTTTCCCAATTCTCATTCTGAAAAATGTCAAACCTACAGAAAAGTCAAAAGAATAGTACAAGAGCACTGATATACTCTTCATCTCCATTTGTGATTGCTAATATTTTTAACATCTGCCTGCTATCCATACATATATTCCTTTTTTCCCCTCAAATCATTTGAAAGTTGCCAACATCATGACACTTCACTTTCAGCATGTATCACATAAGAACAAGCACATCGTCTATATAATCACAGTAGCTTTATCTTACTCATGAAATTTAACATTGATTCAATATTATCTACTGTACATTTTTTCTTGGCAGTTTATGATCTTAGGAATCAAGAAAAGCCTACAATGAATCGCAATGTGTTTTGGGGGTCTTTTGGTAGAATCATGCTCCTTTCTGGGTGTTCTAAAAAGTCCCTGGGTCTTTGGGGTGAGATTCTGTTTGGGTTTCAGAACAATACGTGCATGCCATCAGTTTGACAGCTCATGGTTTGTGTTCCAAAGGGGCAGCTATTAGTGTTACCTGCCCCTGCTATTGCTCTTGACACCATGCGGGGACATCCTCAGTAGCTGCTATTTCTGTCCTTGGTCTGTCATTTGAGCTTGTGCTTCCAAAGTCAGGCCAAATGTCAGGTGCAGGAAGATTGGGTCATCACAACAGGGCGGCGGTTGGAGCACCTGGATGCCAAGCCTGGATCTGTCCTATCAGTTGAGGGACATTTGTATTCTTGGCTATTTGTGTTCATAGGCTGCCATAACAAAGTACCTCTGGGTGGCTTAAAATGACAGAAATTGTCTCACACAGTTCTGGAGGCTGGAAGTCCAAAACCAAGGCGTTGGCAGGGTCACACTCCCTCTGAAGGCTCTAGGGGAGAATCTGTTCCATGCCTTTGTCCCAGCTTCTGGTGTTGCTGGCAATCCTTGGCGTTCCTTGGCTTGTAGATGCATGGCACCCCCATTCTCATACGGCTGCCTTCTCCTTGTGTGTCTCTCGCCCACTTCTTGTAAGTACGCCAGTCATACTGGATTCAGAACCCACCCTACTCTAGTGTAACCTCATCATAATTTATCTATAAGGAATGACCCTATTTTCAAATAAGGTCACACTTGAAGTACTGGGGGTTATGAGTTCAACATATCCTTTTAGGGGAAACAATTCAGCCTATAACAGGGTGTCTTAGGCTGACATCTGCGAGCCTCTACTTCCTCAAAGGTTTTTCGGAAAATTTAAATGAAATAAAGGAGAATTGTGCCCTACAGTATTTGACTTTAGAACAGGAGTCCCCCAACCCTCCGGGCCTTGGACTGGCACTGGTCCATGGCATGTTAGGAACCTGGCCGCACAGCAGGAGAATGAGGGCATTACCGCTGAGCTCCGCCTCCTGTCAGATAAGTGGTGGTGTTCGATTCTTATAGGAGTGCAAACCCTACTATGCATGCGAGGGGTCTGGGGTGCACCATCCTTGTGACGCCTGATGAAACCATCCCCTACAACCCCCCTCCGCCCTCCGTGGAAAAATTGTCTTCCATGAAACCAGTGCCTGGTGCCAAAAGATTGGGGACTGCTGCTTTAAAGTGTCTTATATACGATTTACATAAAAATTTTCCAGTGGTCTCCAAATGTCCCTTATACCTTCCTATTTTTGAGTCTAGGCTCCAATTAAGAACCATGCATTGCATTTCGTCATGCCTTTTTAGTCTCCTTTAATTTAGGACGATGGTTCTCAAACTTCCATGTGTATGAGAATCTCCTGGAGAGCTTGGTAGATCTCCCAATATCCTGGGGCCCATCTCCAGAGATTTTGATTCAGTAGGTTGGGGCAGGACCCACGAATTGGCATTTCTAACAAGCTGGCAGGTGACACAAAAGTTGCTTGTCTAAGGACCACACTTTTGAAAACCACTGATCTAGAAGAGAGGTTGGCAAACTTTTTCTGCAAGCTTTTTCTGCGGAGAGTCACATGGCAAAATACGTTAGGATTTTCAGGTCATACAGTCTCTGTTGCAACTACTCAACTGTGTCATTGCAGGCAAAAGCAGCCATAGATAATACATAAACACATGGGTGTGGCCATATTCCCACAAAACTTTATTTACCAAACAGCTGCCTTACCACATTTGACCCACAGGTTATTGCTTGCTACGAGGATCTACAATAGCACTTCCACTTTTTTTTTGTTTTTTGGAGGCGAGTTTTTTTCAGAGTATTAATATTTTGCAATAGTCCAGTTCAGTTTTCTTGTCATATGTTTCACAATTTGAAGTTGATTGTTTTGTCTTAATTAAAGTTAAACGTGGCAAGACTACTTGTGATAGTGTGTACGGTAGGGAATAACTGTGAAAGACTTTGAAATGGACCCAAAATATTAGTGGTCAACTGTAATGGAATGCTAGTTGTTGTCTAGTATACTCCTTCGTGTTATCTGATTCTATGGGGTCTTGTACCTGCCATTGTCTTTGAGGTATTTTACAACTCTAACTTGTAGAATAGTGATGGTAATATATATGATTTTTGTCTTTAGAAATGCAAATTGTGTCCATTGGGTATGCAGCTGTTTTTTGACCTATGGCTACTGACCAATTTTCCAACTATAGGCAATCTTTCAGCATTCCTAACTGCCTGAATATTTGTTGGATTCTCTTTGGCTTTTCCTTTGAACCAGCTGTGACATGTTACTGGTTCTCACATTAATGAATGAACTAAGGAATATCTTTGATACACGTTCATTCCACATCTGAGTTATGATTATACCATCTTTTAAATATTACCCTTTTGCATTTTTTATTGCATCACTTTAGAAAGCAGAAAATGGTAGTTTTTTAAACATTGGTGATACTAGCTTTAATCATTTGATTAAGGTGGTTCTAACAGATCTTTCCATTGTGAAGATGTATTTTGTCTTTTTTAAGGAAATATACTTTGAAGGTGATACTTTGAGACAAAGAGAATATTCTGTTTCACAATAATTTTTCACCAGATGGTTTTAGTATTTACTGATGGTCCTTGCCTGTATCCATTATAACACTGGAGTTGCAAAACGCAAACCTTTTTCGTTTTCTTTTTTTTTTTTTTGAGATGGAGTCTCGCTCTGTTTCCCAGGCTGGAGTGCAGTGGCGCTATCTCGGCTCACTACAACCTCTGCCTCCTGGGTTCAAGCAATTCTCCTGCCTCCCCTGTAGCTGGGACTACAGGCGCGTGCCACCACGCCCGGCTAATTTTTTGTATTTTTGGTAGAGATGGGATTTCACCAGGTTAGCCAGGATGGTCTCCATCTCCTGACCTTGTGATCCTCCTGCCTCGGCCTCCCAAAAGTGCTGGGATTACAGGCATGAGCCACTGCGCCCGACCACCACAAACCCTTTTTCGATGTCCACAGTTCACACCTGAGCTCTCCCTTTGAATCACTACAACACTTCCCTTTCTTGGGCAATATATGAATAGCACGGCGGTTAGGTCACAGGCCTGTGACCGGCTTGGGTTCAAACCCCGGCTTTTTCACTTACTACCTGCAAGACTTACTAGTTATTTAATTTCTCCATTCCTCACTTTCCCTATTGGCAAAACGGGTGCAATAAAGGCACCCCTCTCAGAGGACTGTTAGGATTAAATGAGCTAAATTACAGTGTCAGAACACTTCAGTACTGGGTACATAATTACTTGCTCAAGAAATGTTAGCTATTATTGGGTCATGATTATTTATATGTGTTTGAATTCCAGCTTTACCACATCCCAGAGTGTCTTTGAGTGAGTTACTCAATATCCTTGTGCCTCAATTCCTCATCTATAAGAAGGTTCCCATCTCATAGGTTTTTAAAGATTCATGCTTACATGCTTAGCAATGTCTGCTATGGAATAAGCACTAAAAAAGATGAGCTTTTATGATGATGATGATTACTCTTTTCAATCATGATTATTTTGTATCTTTGCTCTGAAAGAAAGTGAATTTTTTAAATTCAAGACTTTTAGATTCATCGTACTACTTTCATTGTGGCTAGCCCATGGCCATCCACATAGTGAATTAATAAAGCTTTGTTGAGTGGCACTTGCTTGACAGCGACACTTTTGTCCACTCTTTCACCTTGCTGTATTTGTGCTGCCTTCCTTGCTGTAGGAAGCCCATGCTTGGGCAATAACATTCCCACAGAAGGTCTGAGAGGGTCTGATGGGCCAAGGTTGTAAACCCCCATGATGTGACTCGATGGGCAGTTAAAGTGTGTTCCCACCCCCCACGGATCCGCTGCCACGAGACTGTGCGAAGGCATTTACCTCCATGGCACTTTGATCCAAGTTCCCTATTTTCCCCTACCCGTCGGTCAAGGTTGGGAACAGTTGCTGTAAGCTGGGAAGCACCCGCCACGATCCAGCAGGGCGCGGTGGGAGGGGAAACTGAGGCCCGGCCAGGCACCCGCGCCTCACCCATCCCACCGAGAAGCTCAGGCCCCGGGAGGCACCTGGCGCCTGCGCCCCGCCCGCGTCGCTTCCTGTCCCGCGCGTGCTGCGCTCACGTGACCCGGGCCTGGGAGGAGCCGGGGCGGGCGGGGGTCACCTGAACAAGGGAGTCACGTGAGCGGGGGGCGGGGGTGGGGGGCGGTGCCGGGCGGCTGTCACGTGACGCGATTCCGGGGCCGCCGCTGCCGCTGTCGCTGTCGCCGAGCCCAGTCGAGCCGCGCTCACCTCGGGCTCCAGCTCCGGCTCCGTCTCCACCTCTGCCTTTGCCCTGGCGGCGCGACCCCGTCCCGGGCGCGGCCCCCAGCAGTCGCGCGCCATCAACCTGGCGCCCGCCGTGCAGCCTGGGCCCGGCGCGATGGGGGCCGCCGCCGGCTGGAGCTCCCACCTGGGGCCCGCGCCCGCCGGCCGCCCGCAGCGCTCTCTGCTCCTGCTGCAGCTGCTGCTGCTCGTCGCGGCACCGGGGGCCACGCAGGCCGAGGCCGCCCCGTTCCCCGAGCTGTGCAGGTGGGTGGCCCACCCGGACGCAGGCTCCGCTCGCGGTGCCCGGGGCGAACGGCCGGCGTGGGGGGCGGGGAGCGCTCGAGGAGCTCCTGGGGTCTCCAAGTCGCCTCCGGTCCGCGCCAGGTCCGCCCCGTTCCCAAGGGAAAGTTGCCTGCGTGGTGTCCGGGAGCCCCACCGGGTCCCGTGCGCGGGCGGGGGGCGCGGGGGGCGCGGGGGCACACGCGGTCCTGGCGTTCCTGGAGTCCCGCGGCCGGCCACTTGTGGCTGTCACTGAGTCGGGGGCGGCTTTGTGCGGAGTGGCCGCCCCCGGCCCTCGGGGTCGGCGGCTGCCCTCGCGCGGCCGGGTGTCCGGGAAAGTTGGAGGCAGGAACTCCACTTCGCTTTGTTCCCGCTGCGCGTTTGCATCAGAGTTTCGCCAGCGGGGCACCGTGAGGCCCCTTGGTGTGGAGAGGCTCACCGGGGCGTCGGAGCCCGCAGGAATGGTCCTGGAGTTGAGTGTTTGTGGTTTCATTTGCTGATTGATTTCCCCCCGTGGGCTCATTTTCTCTTTAAAATAGTTTTTTGTTTGTTTGTTTTTTTAGCAGACGGTGACTTTTGTCTTCTTTAGATTGGGGGCAGGGGGGTGTCCTCCAGTGTGAGCTCTCAAGACTTGACCCTTCACTTCTCTGAGCCCAACTTCCTGCCTCGTTGCTCACATGATGTCATTGTCTCCGGGGCGGATTATTCTAGTGGATCTTGCTCTGGGAACCATGATTGTATAACCCATCAGTCCCCTCGAGGGCTGTGCATGTCCCGCAGCTGCCAGCAGTCCAGGACCTGGGGAACTTCGAATTTCAGGAATTTTCTGACCATTCTTTTCTGGAATGTTTAGGATGATGGAAAATTCAGCTTTTATTTACTTTTTTTAAACTTTGGTAAAAAGGAAACAAGATGAAAAGTTCTGAACAGACAAGTTTCTCCCTTGGCAATAACAAGTTGCTTTTCAGAATGAAACAAAGTTGAGCCTACTTTGGGCTGAACGTGGAGTTTGTGGTAGGGTTTATGGGGTTCTTATTTTTCCTTTGCATCAGAGAGAGTTTTATTAGCACTCCTGTGTTCAGAACATGCAGAAATTATTCTAAGGAGAGTGAGGCTGATCTCACAATAGAAACTCTTTGGAAAGGCCCGTATTTTTTATTCTCGCTTTTTTGGAAGGGGAAGGGTGGATGGAGGGAGAGTTTGTGACAGTGTAGTTTATAGACCAGTTAGCTACCCTAAGATACACAGTTACTCCAGTAACTAGCATGATACAGAGAAATGGTGGCAACTTAAACCAGCTCAGGCTGAGACCAACATTTGGAGGAAGGCATTTTGGAATACTGGCTTCTGTGACCAAAAATAAGTTAACTCGCCTGGGCGTGGTGGCTCGTGCCTGGAATCCAGCACTTTGGAAGGCCGAGGTGGGCAGGTCACTTGAGTCCAGGAGTTGGAGGCCAACCTGGGCAACATGGCGAAACCCCGTCTCTACAAAAAATATGAAAATGAGGGCCGGGCGCGGTGGCACACTCCTGTACTCCCAGCTAAGGGAGGCTGAGGTGGTAGGATAGCGTTAGCCTCGGAGGTCGAGGCTGCAGTGAGTTGTGATCGAGTCGAGTTGCGCTCTAGTCTGGGTGACAGAGCAAGGCCCTGTATTAAAAATAAAGAAATAAATACAGTAAGAAATTAACCCAGCTGACTTAGTGAGGTTGAAGTCTTGGTCCTGTTAACAAATTGAAATTTGTTTCTTCACAGTTAAGATTAAGGTTGGCTTCAAGGTCAGACTGATGATACTTTGGCGGATTAATGGGGCCCTTACTTTTGCATTAGTTTAGTCATGGCAGCGTCTTGAACCTGTGTTCACGAACCTCGTCTCCAGGTGGAACACGACCTCTTGGTCCAGTAGGAATGGACTTTGTATCTTGACGTTTTTCTGGCCACTGTCACATGTGGGCATACTTAGCAAATGCCGAAGAGGTTTCTGAGGTTGATATGCATTGTGAATATAATAAGATGTGCCCTTTGTAGTCTTAGAATACCTTCAAAGTTGTGTGTAATTTTTCTGCCAGATTTTCTTAGGACAGCAAACCTGCCAGTCATTTCAGAGATGGATTTTCACCCACCTCTTTCCCTGTTACTTCCCTGTAGTTGCACATGCAGACTTCTTCATAGCCACTTGCAGTCTCTACTTTAAACCCAACGTGTGCAAAGTGAACTTCCTGTCTGTGCCTGTTTTATAATTTTTTGAAGCAGGGTCTCACGGCGTTGACCGGGCGTGAGTGCAGTGGGGCAGTCATAGCTCACTACAGTCGTGAATTCCTGGGCTCAGGCAGTCCTTCCGCCTCAGCCTTCTGTGTAGCTGGGATTACAGGTGCACGCCACCCCGCTTGGCTTATTATTATTATTTTTTAAATTTTTAATAGAGATGAGGTCTTGCTGTGTTGCCCAGGCTGGCCTCGAACTCCTGTCCTCAAGCAATCTTCCTGTCTCAGCCTCCCAAAGTGTTGGGATTACAGGCGTGAGCCACCATGTCTGGTTTATATTCCTGTTTTAAATTGATACCTCTCCTTAAATACTTTTTGCAAACTTTTTTTTCTTGGGACAGGGGAGGTGTCAGTCATCTGTACTTTTATGAGATAAAATTGGCTAAAATTTCCTTAAATGTAGCATGTAGTTGAGGAATAGGAAAGCAAGTCGATTTTCTTTTTTAATTTGATACAAAAAATTCTACGAAGTGTCACCAAAGTGTGATGTGTTAAGCTACATTTTAATTTTGTTCCTGGGCATCAGTTTGCTGAAGTGTGAATAATTCTGCCAGGTCTCCAGTGTGAGCATGAAAAGTCGAGTCCTACAAATGTCCCCATTTGTGTTTGCTGCTTGGTCACATGGAGGCAGTCCCAAATGTACGGAAGGATCACATTCCAAATGTTTGTATATTGATCGTTTCAAACGTGGAATGCGTTTTTCCATTGATAGTATTCTTGTTCATTGTTGTATGGTCCCCAGAAAGTCATTATCCTTGCAAAGGTTTTGGAGCGCCCAGACACCATATGGCTTTAACAGAATTCTAGCCGTAAATTCTCATTGTCTCTAAAAGATGGAGTTGGATTTCCAGGAAAACAACCTCTCCTCCCAAGCCCAGCTCTCTAGAATCTAGAGAGAATATTTTTCTTCTGCAGTCGCTTAGACCAACAAGAGGGACATCCCGGCCTGCTTCAGGGGTGCCTGCCAGGCACCTTGTGGGGGCAAAGCGTCAAGGTGACCTTTGGCTCTAAGCACTCCTGGGATGGGGTGCAGTTCCTGGTGCAGTTAGTAATTGGGAGGGATGAAGGAGACGGCACCGTTTCAGCAGCAGCTTTCACCGTGTCCACGCATGTGGAGGGGCCTGCCCTCTGTGAGTTGTGCATTGAACAGTCAGGCACGACAAAGGCAAGTTTCCCCAAGTGTATCTGGCTTGAAGCAGTGCTTTAAATAAGTGCTTGGTTTTTGGAGAGACTCAGCAAAGTGTTAACTGTCAAGTGGATTACTGTGCCAGGTGATCCCTGTGCTGAGTTAGAAGTTAATGATTCTTATGTAGGTATTTCTTGGGAGGTGATATGCTAGTACAAAGTTAGTAGAAAATGTGTTTCCTGAGGCTAGTGTGATAGGCTGTGGGACTGGCCTGTGGAGAAGACTTGGGGCAGGAAGGAGTGTCTGAAGGTCAGTGGGGGCAGGAACAATAGAGCAAGAAGAGAGGGCATTCAGGAGGAGAGGAGCAGAGGCCAGGCCATGCAAAACCAGCAACAGTGTCTAAAGTGACCTCAGCTTGTCAGTAGCTTTACTTATTACCATATGCTTTAAACTTTGTAAAATGTCATATTATATACGTAATACGCACGTTTCCAGCCTTTAGTTAGGCATTAAGATGCTTAATGGGTGAGGTCTTTTTTTTTTTTTTTTTTTTTTTTTTTTGAGACGGAGTCTCGCTCTATCTCCCGGGCTGGAGTGCAGTGGCCGGATCTCAGCTCACTGCAAGCTCCGCCTCCCGGGTTTACGCCATTCTCCTGCCTCAGCCTCCCGAGTAGCTGGGACTACAGGCGCCCGCCACCTCGCCCGGCTGGTTTTTTGTATTTTTTTTTAGTAGATACGGGGTTTCACCGGGTTAGCCAGGATGGTCTCGATCTCCTGACTTCGTGATCCGCCCGTCTCGGCCTCCCAAAGTGCTGGGATTACAGGCTTGAGCCACCGCGCCCGGCCAATGGGTGAGGTCTTAACAGTGTGCATTAATGATAAAATAATGCATTGAGATGGCTAGATTTAGGTAGTTAAGAACTTTAAAATTTATACAGAACAAGTTTTCCCCAAATTGTTTAGGTATAAATGCTAGAAAGTTTTTACTATGTTGAGGACAAGAGAATAATGAAGCCAGCTGGGAGTTGAGGTTGGTTTAGTTACTGTCTCTAAGGAGATTTTTTTTTTCCCCTGTAATTTTTCCAAAGGAACAATGCTTATATGTCTAATTTGGGCCACATGTTAAACCTGGATCACATCCATTTGTGTGTGTGCATTTCTTTCAACGATAAGTGTATGTGGATGCCTAAGGTTGTTAATTATGGTTACATTAGATCTCATGGATTAATTCTCAGAACGGCATCCTGGCAGATTCCCAGGAAATGAGTGCCTGAGTTGGGCCTCATATCTTTTATCAGCATTTCATAGAGAGAGAGATTTTTAAAAGATGGGGCTGAGAGAAATAATTGAGATGTTCCCTTCTCTATTTTGATCTTGGTATATGAACTATTGTATTGGGGAGAGAGTTGAGCAGGCTCTAGAACTGAGCCTAGTGGCAGAGAGCAGCTCATCACTTTGAGGTGCTGTTCTTTTTCTTCTTCCTTTTCTTCTTTTGATTGTCCTAGCCATGGAGAGTTCTTGCTAATGCCCTAGCTGGTCGTGAATGGTGTGTGAGGAGGTGGACGTGGCTGTTTGACTTTATGGGAACCGCCAAACTG